GGTTCATCACAACTTTCGTATTAAAACTGTCGTTTTGTTGTGAATCAAGAACAGGTTCATCACAACTTTCGTATCAAAACTGTGGTTTTGTTGTGAATCAAGAACAGGTTCATCACAACTTTCGTATTAAAACTGTGGTTTTGTTGTGAATCAAGAACAGGTTCATTGCAACTGTTGGAGGAATCTTTTCTCTTTCTTTTTTCGTAAGCCACTCTAGTTGTAAAACATTTTCAGTAATTCTATTACTTCAGGAAGCTCCTTTGCATCCATCAATCCCTTTGCAAATTCTTCATTAATTCTGAGTGTTAAGGAAAGTTATTTATATATTTATTTGTAGTTGCGGGGTAGCTCGAAACGTATCGATGTCACTTTTTTGCGGCTGTTTGCTGGTGAGTTGATGGTTAATTCCAGAAGAGAGGTCATGCCATAAAAGACTAGTTACAAATTTTAAACTGTTAGCAGCGTTATCTTTCTCTCCGGAATGGAACGCGACTTTGTTCCACTGGTTCTTGTGTGGTCATTGTCTTCTGAAATGGAGACCAGAGCGTCAACGTCTCTCACAGCTGATATTGTAGTGCACGAGTAGCCTTAATTCTACTTTACCATAACGTATCGCTCAATGACTTCGTAATTAGCTAGAAAATGTGTTGTAGCAATACCTCAAAATAATAAGGTGAAAATATATATATATACATAGAAATTAAAGAACATCACTATCTGTTTACAACATTGGATTGGGTCGACCAATACAAGATTCAAGCAGAATGTGCATTGAATGACATAAAAAGTTTGTATATTTTAAAGTTCATTGTTCTTGTCTTTCGTGTTCATTCCATTGCCCTGCCTTTGGTCTCATACCTCTTCCAGAGACAGAACCATTGCCTCAAGTTTTCTCAGAAAAACTATGTGTCCTTCAGCACCAAAATCGGAGGAAAAGTTTTCTCAGAAAAACTATGTGTCCTTCAGCACCAAAATCGGAGGAAATGTTTTCTCAGAAAAACTATGTGTCCTTCAGCACCAAAATCCGAGGAAATGTTTTCTCAGAAAAACTGTGTCCTTCAGCACCACAATTCGAGGAAATGTTTTCTCAGAAAAACTATGTGTCCTCCAGCACCAAAATCCGAGGAAAAGTTTTCTCAGAAAAACTATGTGTCCTTCAGCACCAAAATCGGAGGGAAAGTTTTCTCAGAAAAACTATGTGTCCTTCAGCACCAAAATTCGAGGAAATGGTCGTTGATCCAGACCTCAGTCGACGATACTTCATTAGTTATAAACTAAATGATCGTTGTCATTGACTCTGTATGGTGTACTGAATATACAAACAAACGTCATACCACTCTTGGCTCAAACACAGAGGTGTCACTAGGTGCTTAAAATATTCGGAGCTCTGGCCCATAGGCGCTGAAATTTTCGGCGTTTCAGTATGATATCGATCATGGTTTTCCATTCTGATTTTTCAAGACCCCAACTAGGGATCCGGGGCACGAACCCTGTGGCCAGTGTCTAGCGACGCCTGTGGTCAAACAGAAAATACAAACGGACAATATATTTTAATACAACTGTTTATCACATTCTCACAGAAGTACAAGACGCTTTATAAAAAAACAAAAAACTAAAAACAAGACACCAGCTCAAGATTGAATACAATATATAATAATTTAAAAGGCCATCTGCAACTGTACGAACATCTAGAAGCAATTTTAAACCTATCTGAAAGAAGGAAATCTAGTAAATAGACCAAAAAGTCACAGATCAATCAGCCTAGCCAGTGTTGGCAAACTTCTAGAAAAAATCGTCAGTGCTAAATTATTAGCATATATATATATAAGTTACATCAAAACTACCAGAAACACACACAGTTTCTGAAAATCAAGACAAGCCCTGGATAATTTAATCCGACTTACAGAAACTGTTATAAACTGCTTAAATCTGAATGAATAGGCTGTCTCCTACTTTCTAGATGTAGAGAAAACTTTAGACAGTGTATAGCATAACGCATTAAGATTTCAAATATCTCAGATGAAGCTGCCACGAAGTCCGCGAAGATAATACCATCTCATTAAACAAATAAGTTTTTTAATTCCGCTGTTCTTTTAAATGCACACTCAGTTCTATAGGTCTTTTATTTGATAGTGAAAAATGAAAAAAAAAAGTTAATTATTAGTAAGAAAAACAGTTTGTTGGGTAGATAGAATCTACCGCTAGGAACCGCTGTATTAGACGTTAGTTTTCCAACTTTCTCGAGAATATAAAAATAAAGATTAATGTGTCGGGCATCTTCTCAGAATATTTTATCCCAGAGGCAGGAGTCCCGCAAGGATGGGTAGTTAGTCATATACTAGTTATCTGTATGTCAGTGAAATGCCGTTATTAGATCCAGATTTTGTTCCCAGTTTGCAGATGATGCGGCTATATGGAAGAGTCCAAACACTCTGGTCATGGCTGCGACGAACTTACAATCACAACTAAATAAAATAAAACACTTCTGTAGTAGATGGAAAATAAATGTCAATACTACCAAAACACAAATGATGCATTTCACAAAATCAGTTAAATTAAGTAGACATCCCTTAAATTATTTTAAATAGAACCCTTCTCCACGTAGCCACATCAGCTAAATTTCTAGGCCTAGCTTGCGATTCCACATTTAATTGGACAGAACACGAAAATATAGTTAACACCAAAGTATGACCAAAAAACAATTATATACGACATCCGACTGGCAACAGTAGAGATGCAACATCAGAAAATATACTTAACATTTACAAAACTTACTTACGACCAGTGGTAGAATGTGTCTGCCCGGCATGGTTAAATGTAGTCACACATAACAAAACTACAGACAATTAAAAACACAGTAACCACTAAAGCATATGGAGTTCCAAAAAGCACCAATTCAATATTTTAACACAACTACCCAGACATCCCTATGATGTAAGA